TTCTACTTCTTTCCAAACTAAGCAACATTTTTATGCTGTTCACAATAACATTTTTAGGGACCAATTGTATCATTTATTTTTGGTTCCAATTTTAAATCAATTTTTTTTAACGGCAAATTATACTAACGTCCCTATTAGGTTTGGAACTTGTGTACATTTTAATCCCTACTTTTCAATTGTAACAAATTTGAATTCTTAATTCTTGAATTCTTATTTCAAATACGGACAAATTTGAAAACTACATTGCTCAATCTTCAAGGTCAAAAATGGTCACTTTTGATAAAAATATTAACCTAGTTTAACACAAAATACAATATCAAAAAACTCTATTGTTTTAATTTTTAAAACTTTATTATATCCGTCAAAGATAAAATTATGTCAAATTGATACCATATTTTACATATTTATTTATTTATTTTTAACAAATTAATTTTGAATGATCATGTTTGGATGGTGATCATGTAAAGAGTGGTTGATTTTATTTTATAAATTAGTTTCTATGTTCGCAAAATGGGCCTATGGGCGACAATTTTGAGATCATTATTAAACCAATCCATCTAAATAAAAAAATTCAAAAACTAAAAAATATTCATATGTTCAATACATCGATACACATTAAAGTCTAATAACCATCGATAATCCATCCAAAAATATTTAACAACCAGAACTACTAAGAAAAATAGACGAGCGATGTTTTATATTTTTCCAATCAATGAAATAGGAAGCTACAGACAAGTCCTTTTTATACAAGATGTGAACAGAGTTAACTTGAGTGTATAACTAATCAACCATCTTGTTGTTACTTGTTCTAACCATATATAAAAGCTTTGATTAACCTATACTCTAACAAATCTAACTATCTCTAACAAACTACCTAATTATACATGTGAGGACAGCAGTTACAGGTACAGAATGGTACGCTGGCTTGCGTGAGCCTTCTTGAAACATATTGATTCTTTGAGAACCTAGCTAGAGGCTTAAGCAGCAACAGCAGAGTCCTACTTATCAGTCCCTTCAAACTCATAGACTGGGAAGGACTAAGAGTTTGCTTTGAGATATTAAAGCGAGCCATGAGGAGAGGTTTAGTATATTATCTGCGATTTGATCAAACAGTCGGAATATCAGCAATGTGAGAGTTTTAAGCAGCAACCTTTTCCCGAACAAAAATGATAGTCCACCTCAATATGCTTGTGCTACGACATGAAAAACCGCGCATTATGCGCCATTGGCAATGGCAAGAAGTTATCACACCATAGAGTAGGAGAACAGGAGCAGACAACATGGACTCAGTGAGGAGCAGCTAAGCCACAGAGTTACGGCCTGAAAGTTTAGCTAAAAGCTCGTATCGGCTTCAGAGGCAAATCTGGACACAGTAGGCTGCACTTTGCGGTCCAAGAAATACAGATTGGGACCAAGGTAAATGCCAGTATCCAGTTGTCAGACTTCTGTCCAAAGTATTATACGCTGCCCAATCTGTAATCAGAGTGGCATTAAGAAAAAGAGACCACGGAGGAGAAATGCGTTCCATGAGCTAAAGTACCTATTCGAATATCTGAGTAGCCCTTTATCCACAGCAGCAAGTGACAATTTAAGGGAGCTTCATTTGAATGACAAAGCAGTGTTGAACTGCAAAAGCCCAAAATCTGGTCGCAGTTGATAGTGAGATATTGAAGCAGGTACCTACCAACAGCTTCGATAAAGAGAAGGGTTGAGCAAGGGATAGAACTCTTCAGAAGAGGAAATGAACCTTTAGCAGCCATAGAGATGAATAAGGTTACAATTTTGCATGCCAGCTTTGGCCACCAAAATATCTGACGAGCATATTTGGATGTAGAAAGAAACATAAACCTGAGGAAGACATCCTAGGAGACACAGAAAGCCTAGAAAGTAATTAATAAAACCAAGTTCCTCATGGAGAATGTGGCATGCATCTTTGACTGAATGAAGAGTGTGAAACAGCAAGCAGAAAATGAAGCACACAGCAGTAGGTAAAAGGAGATGACCAGCACAGGTGGAAGAGAGATGAGATGGATAAAGTTCCTTGAGAATAGAAGCCTGTTATACAGAATCTGGCTGTTAGTCTTGTCCGAATAAGAAATGAATGTTTCATCAAAAGGTAACCAGTACAATGGTTATCTTGAGTTAGTTGATGAACGGAAAGAAAATTGGAGGAAAGAGTAGGAACATGACAGCATTTTGTTAAGGATGAAAGGAAAATGAAGGTTGTAGCGAAGTAGGCCTTTACCAGTATGAGCAATTAGGAAAGAGTGGGGATCCATCACCAAATGGCTACCTGTTTCAGAGCCTTTGATAAGGTTCCGATAGCAGGAGAGATGAAAAGACATTAGTCCACTATGAATAGTGGCTCCAGAGTCTAAAAACCATTGACATCAGTGCTAGAGATGGAGCGATGCTAGATATGCTTTAGAGTGATCTTGAATGTTGTGAGGGCAGAAACCAGGAGCGCTGATCATTCTTGAAAAGCTGTGTCCAACGATGCCCAACAGTTTATGCAATGTGATTTGACTCCAACAGATGTGACAGATCATTGTGGAAGAAGGAGGGAAGACTAACTTGCAGGAGTATAAGCTGGTGCTGTTTGTAGCTGTTATAGCACTGAGTTACACCCTCTGGAAAAGTGCTAAAGCTAGTCACCTCTCTGAGAAGAAACCATAGTGAGTGAGCTGACCTCCTCGAAAGCCTGCCCTCACATCGCGGCCTACTGAATGAGCCGCGGCCTCTAAAAGTTGGCCTCTATGTCCTCCTCTGTTAGAAAAAAGGAACCTCTGTTCTGCGTGTTTAACAAGCAAACAAGTCCTGGGAGTTTCCGGCTCGTTGTCACAGTGCTTAGAGAAGCCCTACCATGAATACGATTCAGAACAAAGTGTAGAGAGGCACAGTTGTTCTAAAGAGATAGACCGGATCTAGGCACGACAGTAGCTTTAATGCATTGTTTATGTCATCAGCCAAAACCAATTCAAAGATTAAGGAAGAAATAAGATCTTCATCCTCAAACAGGGGAAATACTAAAGGGCAAGTTGATCAGCAAATCCACTTTGAAGTGATTCAAATAGTCTTCCATGTGCCTCCTTTCTGTAGTGATCTTACTCAATTTAGTCTTTAACTGATGTAAGTGAGGACCTAGAAAGCAGAGGTAAAATGTGTGGCCAGAGTAGTTCCAGGGACTTCATGACTTGATTACCAAGATCGAATTACAAGTAGTGAAAATAGAGAGGATAGGTGTTAGCAGTGATAGCAACCTTAGCAAGGATGTGCCAGTTCAATAGTATTCCACAGAGATATAGCAGGATTCAAGACATTGAAAGATTCTGTTGAATCAAGCACAGTGGATGAAGGACTGACCTCAGATCGCATCACATAACGAAGAAGCATTTGTGCCTTCAAAATGTTTTTGAAGTTTGATTTTTTCACCTATGTAATTTGAAGAATCAAGTTTTGTAGGAACAAATGCACTGAGATGTGAGATTAACAAGGTCAATTTGGAAGGTAATGATGAAGAAACGAGAAGGAAGAAGATGAAGTGGCACAATGGTAGAGAGCCATTGATGAAGCTCTTTAGATGCTCGTGAGAGGCAAAAAATGCTCTGATACCATAAAGAAATTAGAGAGAATGTTTTTTATATTTTTTTCTACAATAATGAAATAGAGCTACAGCAGTCTTTTTAATACAAGTGTGGAACAGAGTTAACCTGCGTTATAACTATCTAAACCATCTTGTGTTACTTGTTCTAACAATATAACACTTGATTAACTATCTCTAACAAACTAACTATCTCTAAGCCAAGACTACCTAATTATACATGTGCAGGACAGCAGTTGCAGTCACAGAAGTGGATAGCTGAGCTGGGTGAGCTTCTTGAACTATTTATCTTGTTGAGACTTAGCTAGAGGCTTAGCAGCAACAACAGAGTCTTTATCAAATACAACCATCTATTACATGATAATCATCAAAAAGCATTAAAAAAATAAAATAAAATAACAACAACAACAACAACCATTACATGATCATCATCTAAATACATAATAAAAGTTAATTTGGTAAAAATAAATAAATAAATATGTAAAAGATTTATCAATTTTACATAATTATATTTGGTGGGTAGAAATATTTTTTAAAAATTCAAAAATAATTTTTTGACATTTATTTTTGTCAAATTAGTTTATATTTTATCAAATTGATGACTTGCCCTTGAAATTGAGAAATAGTATCTTTAATTGTCCTTATTTGAAACAAGATTTAAAATTCAGGGTCAAATGTGCCACAATTGAAAAGTTAGGACCAAAGTGATACAAGCCCCAAACTATAGGGACTGTTAGTGTAGTTCGCGCCTTTTTTTTTTTAAATCGAGTTTTTTTATTTTTTGTTTTTCATATTTTTTTTATTCTTACAGAATTTGTTTAGTAATTTAAATAATTTTTTTACTTTTTATATTGACTTAACTTAGATATACCTAAAAAATAAAATATTTTTAAAAATTAATAAATACACAAGAATACAAAAATATATTGAATTTTTATTTTATTTTATTTTTGTATTTTTGGTATTTAGTAAATTTTTTAAAGATTTTTTTTATAAATGTTATACCTTTTAAGTGTGTTTATGTTAGGTGCATTTAAAAATTAAAAAAATTAGTTAAAATATTAAGAAAAAATTAGTACAAGCAAAAACATACGGAAAACAAAAAATTTAATTTTCTAAAAAGTAAAATCTAAATTCTAAAACCAGGTACTCTCTTTAACAAAAACAAAAACAAAAACAAAATGTATGGGAATATTTAATTATTTGAAAAATGAAAAAAAAAATGTAAATAAGATTCGAAATATGCATGTTCTTCACTTCTCTTTTACTATTTGTCTAGAATTTTAATTGAAAAAGAATAGCTTGTTTATTTCTCAATATTACCAAAGTTCATGTTAAACACGGAACTTTGAATCATACCCAATAAAAGTAAATATGAAAACTAAAATTGAACATTTTTTTTATTCAGGAAAAAATAGATATATTTTATTAATGATAATAAAACATTACAAAAAGAAGAAAAAGACATAATAAAAAAAAAACACCGTCAACAACTAAACTGAGATGCTATGCTTTATTGGAGAGTAGTACAACTTTATTATTTATATTATATTCTCAACATCATGTAATAGTAAGAAATTACACAAAATTTATAGGGAGCTGAGAAGTGGAAATTTAGGATTGGAAACAAATGAGAGGAACTCTTTATCAGTTTCAAGTTTCACCAGATCACCCTTATTCATACAAATCAATGCTTCTATGCCATCACCTGATTTAGTAGGAAAGAAAGCAACCACATTATCAAGATTTACTACACCCATAGTCACCCATACAGGCCTTCCCCATCCAAAATCAGTTTCATATAGCGGGAACCTAGCTATGCTCGAAAACATAAAAGTAAACACTGCCTCTCCACCACCTCCTCCTCCTCCTTTATTACCACCCTCCTCTTTCTTGGAATTCAAGCCCCCCATACCACCACCACCACCACCCTCTTGGAGTTTCCTTACATAATCGCTATTAACTTTTCTTATCCCATCTCTCATCTGAGTGACCAAGCTACCATGATCCTCTCCTATAGCGCCTTTTTCCAATGCCGGTGGTGCTAATATTGCTATGGAAAATCGACTAAGGTTACCATAATATGAATTAGGTAAAGGTGGATTGAGTCTCGTGCGCAAGTTCACCCCTTGAACCACTAGGTATCTAATTCCTTCTCCACATACTGCCTCTCCTCGAGTGGCGGCCTTATGTCTACACCATATAAAAGTAGAAAGTGCCTCAACACGAGTTGGATTATTATGTATGGTTTTGTTGTTGGCAGTGACAGTAGTGGTGGTGGTGGTGGTGGTGGTGATGGGGGTATATTTGGCTTTAAGAGTAGAGATGGCGGAGTCACTAAACACGAAGCTCTTTGCAATGATCTTGTTTTTTGCAGTGCCAACGCCGTGCTGGTGGTGATTGGTATTGGGATTAAGTGTAGGGGGAAAGATGTTGGCCGAACTGAATTGGGGATAAACCAAATTGCTATGATCTCCACGACTAATAGTTGCCCAAAATTTCATAAACATAATTGCTGATAATGCATCTGCTATCTTGTGTGAAGTACATAATCCTGTTAGAGAGAGAGAGAGAGAGAGAGAAAAAAAAAGTACTTGGATTTGTTTACACTACAAGAAATTAAAATTTTAGAGACAAAAATAATTTGTCTATAAAAATTATACTGTTAAGGACAAAATGAAAGAATTTCTAAAAATATATATTTAATCATACTACTAAATTTTAAAGACAAAGCTATTTGGATGCAAAAAAGTTAGTAACTTTTTACCAACAACTTTAATTGGTCCCCAATAAACTAACTCATACATTATTTTATTTTATTTTATTTTCATTGTTTGAGCTTTAATAGTCGAAATTTCATTTCATTCTCCACGCTACTCTCTCGATCGATCGTATTGATCGTGTCTTAGCTTGAATCTTCGAAGCTGAAAGATCTAGAGCTAAAAAGGACTGAAAGAGGGAAAATAATACTGATTAATCATATACTTGAATCGCCATTGAAGAGAAATAGGTCCATTTTAAGGTAAAATATTTGTATCCATAAGCTCATGAATGACATTTCAATGAAGCCCTTGAGAAAAGGATATGATGGATGAGTTGTTCTGTTTTGTAGGTAGATATAATTACAATTTACAATCTATTCAATAAATAGTTGAATGCTACAAACAATGCTTATGGCACTAGCCTTATAAATTGGAAATGATACCTTTGAAATCTCTATCAGTTTATGATATACAATCAAATATTACGTATTAATGAAGCAGAGCATGGTATTTGTTTGTCATTGAAATATCTCTTGATTAAGCCTCTTTGAATGCAATGAGCATGGTGTTTTTTTTTCTTTTTTTTTGGTGTTGTTGAATTTTAATTTGGAGATGAACATATGATATGGTGATATGTTTGATATTTTTTGTTTGGTTGTTGAGAAATCAAGTAAGGAAAATGAGTTTCTGTTCAAACTAGTATTCTTAGAGTAATTGTTACAAAATCAAAAACAAAAACAAAAACAAAAACAAAAAAAAGTATGTTATCAAACTTTTAGAGACCAATTTAGTTGTTTG